TTTCTCTGCTCTTTACCAGTAACATGTTGGATACCTACTGACCTGGGGGGCGCATCTTCCAGTGTCGTATCTTTTTGCCTTTTCATACTTTTCATGGGATTCTCAGGGCAAGAATACTGCAGTGGTTTGCCATTCCCATCTCTAGTGGACCACGTTTTGTCAGAACTCTCCACTATAACCCATCCATCTTGGGTGTTGCACAGCATGGCTCATAATTTCATTGAGTCACACAAGGCTGTGGTCCATATGATCATTTTGATTGGTTTTCTGGGATTGTGGTTTTCGTTCTGGAGGTTAGCTAAATGTATTTTTTACATAACTTCTTTTTATCAGGCAGAGTTCTATATTCCTAGTGTGCTGAGTCTTTATCATGAATGTTGATTTCTGTCAAGTTTTTTTTGCATAAATTTATATGATCATGTGATTGTTATTCCTTGTCCTGTGAATACAGACTGACTTTCAGATACCAAACCAGTCTTGCATCCCTTGAATAAAACTCCCTTGGTTATAATATATAATTCATTTTATACATTGCTGAATATTATTTCTTTATATTTTGTATAGAATTTGTATGTTAAGGTTCATGATGGGTACTGGTCTGTAGTTTTCTTTTTCTGTATTACATTTGTTTAGCTTTGGTACCAGGAAATACTATGTTAGTAGTTATTCTTTCCTCTTCTATTTTATAGAAGAAACTGTAAAGGATTTGTATTAGCTCCTTTCTTTAATGTTGAGTAGAATTCTCCAGTGAAACCATCTTGGCCTGGGGATTTATTTTCCAACAGATTTTTTTCAACTATGAATTCAATTTCTATAATACAGACACATCTTGGGAGACATTGTGTGTTAAGCTCCAGACCACCACAATAAAGTCTATTAAGTGTGCAACAGCATTATGTTTAAAAAACAATATATATAATCTTGATTTTAAATACTTTATTGCTACAAAAATGCTAACAATCATTTGAGCCTTCAGGGAGTCACAATCTTTTTGCAACAGTAGCATCAAAGATCACTAGATCATTAACAAATGTAACAGCAAAGTTTGAAATACTGTGAAAATTACAAAAATTTGATACAGAGACACAAAGTGAGTGATTACTGTTGGAAAATAGGCACCAATAGACTTGCCAGATACAGTGTTGCCACAAACCTTCAATTTGTAAAAAACACAGTTATCTGTGAAGAGCAATAAAATAAGGAATGCCTGTAGTTAGAAGGCTATTAAATGATCTATTTAGTACTGTGTGAGTTTTGGTAATTTGTACTTTTTAACAAACTAGCCCATTTCATCTAAGTTGTAAAGTTTATGTACTTAGATCTGTTCATAATATTCTCTTGCTATGCTTTCAATTCTGTGGCTCAGTAGTGATATACTATGCCATTTCTGAGAGTGGTAGTTTTTATCTTTTTTTTTTTCCATTTATTTTTATTAGTTGGAGGCTAATTACTTTACATCATTGCAATGGTTTCTGTCATACATTGAAATGAATTAGCCATGGATTTACAAGTTTTTATCTTTTTTGTCAGTCTCACTGCAGGTAACCTTCCAAAAGGTGTATCAACTTCTTTTTTCATCTTTGCAACCAGCTCCTTAATTTCATTTTTTTCTTTCTGCTTGTTATGGGCTTGTCCTGTTATTCTTTTTCTAGTTCCTTAAGAAGAAAACTTAAGACTACTGGTTTGACACCTATTTTCTAATAGAAGTATTTAGTGTTATAAATTTGACAGCTATGATTTTGTTCCCCTCAAATTTTGATAAATTACATGTCCTTTTTTATTCAATCCAATGTATTTTTGTAATCTCATGAATATTTAGAAATGTGTTGTTTACTTTCCATGTGTTCAAAGACTTATCTAATGCTTTCTATCATTAATTTCTAGATTATTTGACTTCAGTTCTTTTAAATATGTTGAAATGTGTTTCAAGGCCCAACACATTGGCTATCTTGATGAGCATCAAATTAATTCTTGAAAAGAATGTCTGTTTTACTGTTGTTGTGTAGAGTATAATGTCATAATAATGTGCAAATGTCAATCAGATCTTGTTAGTTGACAAAGTTAAGTTCTTCTGTATCTTCATTGATTTTTTTGTCTCAGTAGTTCAACTGGTTGTTGAGAGAGGTATACTGAAATCACCAACTGCCATTCCAGATTTACCCATTTTTCCTTTCCGTTCTATTAGCGCTGCTTCATGGATTCTGAAGCTTTGTTGTTTAGGGATACATATTTAGGACTGCTGTGTCTTACTAGTGGATTTATGCAATATCCCCTTCTGTTATAGAATTTTCATTCCTCTGAAGTCTACTGATATAAATAGCCACTCTGCTTTATTGTGATTGTTTACATGGCTTACCTTTCTCTCTACACTTACTTTAAACCAACTTATAGCCCTATATTTAAAGTGTATTTGTCAACAGTATATAGTTGGGTCATGGTTTTAATCAATCCATTGTGTAAACATCTTAACTGGTATGAGATAAATTATATTTAATATAACTGATACAATAGGGCTTAAGCCTGCCATTTTACTGTTTACTTTTCCCTCAGTTGTTCAATTCTCTACTTCACTTTTTCTGCCATCCTGTGGGTTACTTGAACATTTTTAAAATTCCATTTTGATTTATCCATAGTGTCTTTATAAACAACTTTTAATTCTGAGATAACTGTGTGTACGTGTGCTCATGTCCGACTCTTTGTGACCCCATGAACTGCGACCGCCAGGCTCCTCTGTCCTTGCTCCAACTGTCAAACAAAATTAGAAAACTCAAGAGGAGGACTGTCGATTATATTTCCCTGTATTTCTACTCTCTATTCCTCCTTCATTCCTAATGTTTCCAGCTTCTTTCATCATTTTCTGTTTGGAAACTTTGTTTAGCCATTCTACACTAAGATTTACTAGTGAAAAATTTTTAGTTTTACTTTATGTGAAAATTTCTATTTCAGTTTTATTCCCGAGGATATTTTTCTGGGTACAGTTCTTTTCTTTCTGCACTTAAAAAATGTTGTGCCACTTCCTCTGGGCTCCATGGTTTCTAATGAGAGATCTGCCATTCAATTTGTCCCCAATAAAATCATTTAGTTGCTGTCAAGCTTTTCTCCCCTCTTAATTTTCAGAAGTTTGATTATGATGTGCCTTGTCATGGACTTCTCTGGCTTTATCCTGTTTAGGGTTCATTCAACCTTTTGATTGTATGTTGTTTAGATACTAAGACACGTCCGACTTTTTGCGACCCTATGGACTATAACCTCCCAGGTTCCTCTGTCCATGGGATTTTCCAGGCAAGGATACTGGGGTGGGTTGCCATTTCCTTATCCAGGGGATCGTCCCAATCCAGGCATCAAACCCGCGTTTCTTGCATCTCCTCCATTGACAGACAAATTCTTTACCACTGCACCATCTGGGATTATATAGGTTTATGCCTTTTGCCAAGTTTGGGGAAATTTCAGACAGTATTTATTCAGATACTCTTTCAGCTCTATGCTCTCTTCTACTTCTGGAGCTCTGAGAACAAAGAAATTAGGTTTTTTATTATTGTTTCACAGGTTCCTGAGGCTCTGTTATTTGATGTCTTCTCTGTTGTTTAGGCTGGGTAATTTGTTACTGTATCGCCAAATTCACTACTTCTTTCCAAAATCTTCTCAACTCTTCTCTGGAACCCATCCAATTAGTTTTTATTTCAATTATTGCATTTTTCAGTTCCAAAACTTCTTAATTCTTTATCACATTTTCCATTTCTTTCTTGCAATTTTCCATTTGTTTCAAAAGTGTTTGTAATTGGTTGCTGAAATGTCAATAGAATGACTTAATTTTTTAATTGGTGGAAATGATGACTGGTTTAAAAGCCTTGTCAGATAATTTCAACATCTGTTTTATCATGTTGTTGGCATTTGTTGATTCTTCTTTTCTCACTCAAGTTGGGATTTTCCTGATGGGTGGTAAGATGATTTTTTAAATACTTTGGTCATTTGGGATACTGTTAAGAGACTCTAGATCATATTCAATCCTGTGTGGTAACAGCCTCTACTAAGTCACAGGGTTAACTGTGCCTGTAGGAGAAAGCACGAGACTAACTCTGTACCACCAGGAAGTACTGGCTCTCCACGGGGTCTCCGCTGACACCCTGGTGGTGATGGGGGTGGAGGCGGGGTGCACTGGGGTGGGGTGGGCAGCTGTCTTGTTACCAGGAGAAAGAGGTAGGAGCCGATGCTCCTGACTCAGCCTCCACTGAGCCTGTGGCAGGGGGACAGACACCCTGTTGCTGATGTGTGTGACAGAAATACAGGCTCCCCTCTTGGTCTTCACTGACTCTGCTCCCACCGAGTGTCTCATCCCCACGGCAACTCCTCACCACAGGGCAGAAGCAGAAATCCAGACACTGCAGGGGCAGGGACAGCAGAGGGGGGACCGTATGAAGCTCCACGAAGGGAAAGGCACCGGCGTGGGTGGAGGCGGAGGAGGAAGTCTAGGCTGAGAAAAGGAACAGATGCTGGGCTGTTTCTTCCTCCAGGCGTTTTGCTGGAATAGAGTGTTCACTGTCAGATAGGTTTCTGACATTCTAAGTTACCCTACTCCCAGTCCTTGGCAAAACAGAACAGAATTTTCTTAGGGCTTTTGTGTCTGTAAAAGTTGGCATTTCTCAGTTGTGGTCATCCAGTTTGAGACATGAAGGAAACAAAAAGAAAATGTGAAGAACTTAATGCTATGTCAATCCTCAACTCCCAGGGTCCCACACAGGCTCATCTTCTCTCCACCCTTCAAAGTCTTGTTTGTTTTATGTGTGATGTCCAGTGTTTTTAACTGTGTACTTAGTGGGAGTGATAGGAGATACGTGTCTATCTTACTTTGTGTAAGAAAAAAAGTATGTGTGTTTAAGGAATTAAAGGCCTAACTTAAGCTAATTTTATATGCAGAGTCAAAATAGAAGATGAGCATAAACTAAGATCAGAAAAATGCAGTAATAGTTATGAAATAATCCCATCTTCCATAGAATTATTACCTTTCCCAGATGTCCTCCTGATCTTGGGAATGGTGAATTTTTTCAAAGGATTGCCATTTACGCCAGTAACAAATAAAGGTTCACTGGTTGAGTTCATTTTCCATAGAGTCTTGTATTTAGCAACCTCTTTCATTTCCATTTTGTTGGTGGCCTAAAATCAACCCAAAGTTATTAAACAAAAGGTCAATAAATAATAAAAGGCAATGGCAGTAAAATAAAACTGTTTAAAAGTTCTTATATGGAATTGAATAGATATATTTTTAGTCACACAACAGATTTCAATCTCATTTTGCAGGTTACTCAAAATAGAAAATGAATTAACTTTTGATTTTATATACTATTTAAAATATTTTGTAGTTTTTGGTTTTTTTACTCATTTTTTTATTTATTTTAATTTGGCTGCATTGGGTCTTAGTTGTGGCATGTAGGATCTAGCTCCCTGTCCAGGGATTGAACCCAGGCCCCCTGCACTGGAAGAGCAGTCTTAGCCTTTGGACCACCAGGGAAATCTCTATTTTGTAGTTTCTAACAGACATTTTCCTTGCAGTTTAAACCTTCTGTGTTTCCAAAAAGCTTAATAACTTCTAAACAACAAATTTCAAGTACCTATTTTTTTTTTCTTTGTGGGAATTCTTTTTTTTTTTTCCATTTATTTTTATTAGTTGGAGGCTAATTACTTTACATCATTGCAGTAGTTTTTGTCATACATTGAAATGAATTAGCCATGGATTTACATGTATTCCCCATCCCGGTCCCCCCTCCCACCTCCCTCTCCACCCGATCCCTCTGGGTCTTCCCAGTGCACCAGGCCCGAGCACTTGTCTCATGCACCCAACCTGGGCTGGTGATCTGTTTCACCCTAGATAATATACATGTTTCAATGCTGTTCTCTTGAAACATCCCACCCTCGCCTTAATGATAACCCTATATGCAAAACAGAAAAAGAGACTCAGATGTATAGAACAGACTTGTGGACTCTGGGAGAAGGCGACGGTGGGATGTTTCAAGTACCTATTTTTTAAAACATTTTTCCTATGGGCTTCTGCGAATTTAATATATTCTCTAAATTAGAATCTTTGGTTTTTGGAAAAACCTTTATGAAAGTTGTAAACCAACTACTGCATTGGTATCCCTACAACTGATGGCCTAAAACAGTCAACCACTATTGTTTCACAGTATCACTACCAATGGATTAAGACATTATGCATCATACCACTATTCCTTTTCCTCCCTTCAACCTCTTCCCCAAACATACACACATATATTAATTAACCTTCCAAGGAGCACTCAAACAGGATATCAAAGGAAATCTATGGTGCCCACACACAGAGAAGTATATGCGAAGATATATTTTTCATGCCAGTTCATAATATGGCGCTGGGCCTTCTGAAACCATCAACTGCTTTGTTCACAAACATGACATCACATTCCAAATTAAGAGCTGCCAAAATTCTACAGAAGGGTCACAAAGGAAAAGATTCTACAGAAGGTTCAAAAGCAGTTACTCTCCCAATCCCCACTCCTTCATTCTTTGTGAAAGGTGATCTCTCAACCTCACAAACATGGTTCAAAACAGGGAATGGACCGAGACCTCTAGAAAGAGAAGAAAACCAGCCTTTCTCTCATCCAGTCACATGGAGAGACACCAGCAGTGGTGCCTACTAACAAGAATCCCCTAAGATATACCAGCTCCAGAAATATTTGTCAAGACTGCCATGTTCACATGGAAGTTTCATGAGGCAAAAAAGAATAATTTATTCATAGAATAACTTACATTACAAAAAACTCTTCATTGTGATCTGTACCTACTCCACACAAAGGTATACAACCATCAGCTGAATATACTTTACTTGAACTTCATGCTGTGACAATATTTAACTACAGTTAAACTGTATTTTCAGTTAAGATGGGTAATATTTCAGCTGTATGGTTCCTTATAAAATGTTTTCCTAGTAGAATTTACTAATATAGTAAAGACTTCTGAGATTTACTCATTTTGTTCCTCAGTGCTTATGCTAATACTTAGCCACAAAGTGGCTAAAAAATGTATATTAAGAACTGTCTGATGAAAGATGAATATTCAGGGAACAACAGTATTCAACTTTCTTCATTAAGTTGTATCCAGCAAGTTTTCAAGAGTAACCTTTCAAGTAAGAATAATACACCTTTAAATTCAACCCAAACAAATCAGTCACATTAAAGGGATAAATCTTCATGCTCATATATTACAGTCCTATATCCATTTATATTATTTATCTTTACATACAGATGCAAAGATACATCACACTATACTGTGAAATATACACAACAGTCCTATAATCATTATCTATGTATTTACATATGTTGTTTATTTTTCTATATGTAAAAATAAAATCAGGAAGTATGAACCCAGCAGGTTCATATTATGGCTGTCCTATAAGGTCCTGGATTATCTGGGTGAGAGTAAAGGAAAAAAATCAACACTAAAAACTTTAAGAATAGTTAACACACAGGACGTAGAATTTGGTAAATCCTTAACAAATACTAAAATGAATGAATGAACTGAAGATCAAACAAAGAAACCAAAACCAAAAAGCTTCCCCAACAACTAAATTGTCTATTCATACAGATCCTAAGAGTGTGTATATTATGAACAACTTTAAGCCAAAACACTTAAAAGATTACACAAAACAATAAATTCTAGGAAAAAATTAATTTACTAAAGTTGCAAGAAGAAATTAACATAATGCATCATCCTATCACATTAACATGAAGTTGAATCAGTAGTTACAAATTGATTCTAAAGATAAAAATAATGATATTAATATATCATAAGCGAGCTAAGTATATCCAAGGATACAAGAGAGATTTAATATGTATATTTTATTTACTATATAAACCTATTAAAGGAGGAAAAAGTCAAGTGATTATCTCAATAAATGAAAAGAATCATAATCAAATTCTTTTTTTTTTCCGTTTATTTTTATTAGTTGGAGGCTAATTACTTTACATCATTGCAGTGGTTCTTGTCTTACATTGAAATGAATTAGCCATGGATTTACATGTATTCCCCATCCCGGTCCCCCCTCCCACCTCCCTCTCCACCCGATCCCTCTGGGTCTTCCCAGTGCACCAGGCCCGAGCACTTGTCTCATGCACCCAACCTGGGCTGGTGATCTGTTTCACCCTAGATAATATACATGTTTCGATGCTGTTCTCTTGAAACATCCCACCCTCGCCTTCTCCCAGAGTCCACAAGTCTGTTCTATACATCTGAGTCTCTTTTTCTGTTTTGCATATAGGGTTATCGTTACCATCTTTCTAAATTCCATATATATGTGTTAGTATACTGTAATGGTCTTTATCTTTCTGGCTTACTTCGCTCTGTATAATGGGCTCCAGTTTCATCCATCTCATTAGAACTGATTCAAATGAATTCTTTTTAATGGCTGAGTAATATTCCATGGTGTATATGTACCACAGCTTCCTCATCCATTCGTCTGCTGATGGGCATCTAGGTTGCTTCCATGTCCTGGCTATTATAAACAGTGCTGCGATGAACATTGGGGTGCACGTGTCTCTTTCAGATCTGGTTTCCTCGGTGTGTATGCCCAGAAGTGGGATTGCTGGGTCATATGGCAGTTCTATTTCCAGCTTTTTAAGAAATCTCCACACTGTTTTCCATAGTGGCTGTACTAATTTGCATTCCCACCAACAGTGTAAGAGGGTTCCCTTTTCTCCACACCCTCTCCAGCATTTATTGCTTGTAGACTTTTGGATAGCAGCCATCCTGACTGGCGTGTAATGGTACCTCATTGTGGTTTTGACATAATCAAATTCAAAATTCACTTATGATTTAAAAAAAAGTCTTAGGAAAGCATTCATTAACTTGATAAGTTATTTGCCGAAAATTTACAGAAAATTGGTAAATATCCAATGCACTTCTTTTAAATTTAGAATAGAACAAGGATACCACTCCATAAACAGTATAAAGGAACTAAAAAGCTGAAGGGAAAAGGAAAGGGTCTTGAGAATTTCCAGGAGTGAAAGAGAATGATTTTCAGCTTGTAAGAGAAAGATTAGACTCAAATAACACAGATTAAGAATGAATTTTACTTAAAACAGGTAAAAAATCACTATGGTTCAATTTTTGGTTCTACCAGTAATTGGATATGCTGTGTGAGGCAAAGGGTCTAACTTCTCTGAGTCTAATAGTATCCATATCTCACATGGTTGCAAAAGCTGGTATAAAACAACTGCATACTATGAACTGTTAAGTGATAGCCCAAAGCCTGTAATATGGACCAACTTAGAGTTCATCAAGAAGCAGTATTGCAAAGAAAGCTCAAAGTCAAGCGATAATGGTTCTAATTCTCAATCAGTGATTAACCAACTTCATTTTCTCTAACAATTTTCTAGAAAACTTACTTTACTGAATACTTTGTAGTGCATGACTCTGCTGAGATTATGAATCCTAACACACTTTTCAGAGGCAATTTAGTGGCAAAGGACTAAATCCCTTCTACATCAAATAGCCAGTCTAAAGAAGTCCTTGTAAAGTTTTCTTAAAAGAACATTTGTGCTGAGTTTCCTAAGACTATCATTAAAAATTAAGGACTTGAGACCACTGGTTATGAATTATAGATTACTATTCAAACCTCCAAAATCTTCTACCTGATTACTATCCAAAAATCCTTAATAACATAATTTGGTATTTCAACTGAATGACCTAGAGAGCCCTAGAGATATTCATTTACTTGGCAGTGCTGGGTCCTAGTTGCAGCATGTGGGATCTAGTGCCCTGACCAGGGATCAAACCCAGGCCCATTGCACTGGGAGCTCAGTCTTAGCCACAGGACCACCAGGGAAGTCCTTAGAGTTTCTTAATAAGACTCAAGTGCTATCAGATATGAAAAGGTTTCCTAGTATAAAGCAATTAAAGGTAACTGTAGCTACATGAAGCATCCAGTTAGAAAGTTTTTTCCGTTCTCTTTCAAACTTTCACATTAGCTTGTTAACTTACTTTTAACATCTCTAAAAGTTTGCTAATCTCTTTTTAACAAAAAGAAACAATGTCTCAGTTTCAGGATTTTCTGGCAAATGACACTGTTCCATCTAATTTTTACAATTATCTTTTTTATTTTTACAAGTAATACTGATTTTTTATTTACTTTCCATCCCCAAGTATACTTAAGTAAAAAATAGGTCTATTATAAAACATTAAAGACATTATCGCAATGGAGAGATGCAGATATAGCAAAGATCATCCCTTTCCCAGTAATCTCAGTAAAGAGTACCTGATGAGTAAATAAATGATGAATAAATGTTCTTGGAACTTGAGTCACAAACACATAAATTCTAAATTCTTCAGCAGAGTTCTAAATAGTTGAAATTAAGAATTCTGATAAAAGGTTCAATCAGATCTATACAGGATAAGCTACATACACATTTAATGAGATTAAGTCAAGAATCCCCCAGCTAGGACAATATGATGTCAAGATGAAATATGTTTTAGTCCAGCTTTTCATTTTATTGATCAGGGGTTGGCAAACTATAGCCTATGCATTCAATCCAGCCCTCTACTAGTTTTTGTAGAGCTCACAGCTAAACAGTTTAAAAAAAAAAATCAAGGATAGTATTTCATGTCACTTGAAAAATTCTATGAAATTCAAATTTCAGGATCTGTAGGAAGTTTTACTGGAATACAGCCGCACTTATTGTCTATGGCTGCTTTCCTACTAGAACAGCTGCTGCTGCTAAGTCTCTTCAGTTGTCCGACTCTGTGCGACCCCAGAGATGGCAGCCCACCAGGCTCCCCCGTCCCTGGGATTCTCCAGGCAAGAACACTGGAGTGGGTTGCCATTTCCTCCTCCAATGCATGAAAGTGAAAAGTGAAAGTGAAGATGTTCAGTTGTTTCCAACTCTTCGTGACCCCATGGACTGCAGCCTCCCAGGCTCCTCTGTCCATGGGATTGTCCAGGCAAGGGAACTGGAGTGGGGTGCCATTGCCTTCTTCGACTAGAACAGCAGGGTTGAGTGAATATGAGACCCTTGGCACACAAAGACTAAAATACTTACCATCTAGCCCTTTACAGAAAAAGTTTTCCAACCCCTGTTGTAAATGAAACTAAGCATCAAAGAATCAGGATGATAAAAACTAGACTGTATAACTTCCATTTTAGGGTTTTTTTCTCTTACACTCCCATTGTTTCAATTCTCTTTCCACTGTATCCTGAATTTCATTCCCACACACTTGGCTTCTCTGTATCTACCCCCATATTTAACCAGGTTCACACCTGATCAAGTAAAAAGCAAAACAGACAAAACCTGCCAGGGTCAGATTTGCCCCTCTCTAGATCACCATGGGGTCTCAAAGTCAGACACGACTGAGTGACTGAACTGAACTGAGATCACGTCCTACTTCCTCTGCAATTTACTTCTATTTCTGCCTCCACTACTCTACCTAAACAGCAGTCTTCAGTCACCAGTGGTTTCCACGTCGGTCTCTCATTCACATCGTACGTTTCTGATTCACAGCTTACTTGGCCCCTTTATCTTTGAAACTGGTGACCAGGCTCTTACTAAAAGCCTGACTTGAAATAATGCCCTGACTTCTGTGACTTCACAATCCTAATTTTACTGCTACTGCTCAGAGATGGTTTCTTAGTCTCTTAGTAGCTTACCTGTCTTTACTTGGCCTTTATTTTAAGTTTTACTTGTATAAGATACATTTTAACCTATTCTCTTAGATTTTCTTTTAGTATTTTGCCAAACTAATCTTCATAAATAATAAAAATAATACTTGGTGGTTTTAATTTGCATTTCTTTCATTATTAGCAAGATCGAGTCATCCTGTTTATTCTCTGAATCACTTGTTCCAACCTTTTTCTCTTGTTTTTCAGCTAAAATGGTCAGTTAATGATTTGTAAGTACTCTATATACACAGAAATTAACTTCTGCCTGTCATCAGTGTTGCAACATTTTTGTCTGTTAGTTTTGTTGACAGCATTTTCCTCCCATAGAAAAACTTTTTGTGTAGTCTAGGGATGAGATGGTTGCATGGTATCACTGACTCAATGGACATAAGTTTGAGCAAGCTCTGGGAGTTGGTGATAGACAGGGAAGCCCGGCGTGCTGCAGCCCATGGGGTCTCAAAGGGTTGGACACAACTGAGCGACTGAACTGAACTGAACTTCTCAGTCTGTTAGTATACTGGATTTTTATATTGTCACCAGAAGTATATGAGTTCCAGGTGCTCAATATCCTCACTGACACTTCACATTGGCAAACTTTAATTCTTGTCAATATGATGCACATTCTCATTGTGGTTAGTTTGCACTATTCTGGTTTTTGATGAGATTAGTCATCTCCTGGGTATATTTATTGGTCATTTGGTGAAAACCTTTGTGAAATGCCTTTTTAAGTTTTTTTCTCACTTATCTGTAAAGCTCTTTATTCTATTCAATGTATTTGTAAGAAAAGAAAGACTAACTCTTGACCAAGTATACTTGTTGCAAATAATTTCTCCCATGTTTTTAAAACTTGTCATTACACTTCTTTAAACAAAAAGATCTAATTTTAATGCAGTCAAAATTATAAATTTTCCTTTATATTGGTGCTTTTTCACTTTTGATCAACTTTAAGAAAGAAGTGCTGAAGATGGTGGAGTAAAAAGACCCTGGGCTCACCTCCTCTCACAAGCACACCAAAATAACAACTATCAGCAGAATAACCACTAATAAAAAAAGACTGGGACCTACCAGAAAAGATCTTCTACACTAAAGACTTAAAACATGGAACCACACCAAGACCACTAACTTCATACTCAACAGTGAAAAGCTGAATGCACTCCCTCTAAGATCAGGAACAAGA